TAGCACCATGATGAGAATTAGAAAAGCAACTCCGTGTTCAATAATAATTTTGAAACAGTTAAGAGGACACATCAATTTTCCAGCCAGACTAGACAGCTGAGGGGAGCTCCTACAGGAAAAATGCAAAGGGTAGACTACAAACAAAAATAATGTGTACAATGGGAATGTGAAATCCACTCTTGTAACTAAGAAGAATTACAACTCTATCCTTTAATTAAAATGACTGGAAAGTACATGGAGGGTCAACATTCCAAAATCTTGAAGTGAAACAAGTCTATGCTCATCAAAACCCAGAATTTTTTAATATTTTTGAGATCTTTTGATTAGTTATAAAAGACTCCAATATTTCTTAATTTTCTATTCCCTTACTAATAGGCTGCAAGGCCTCTTCAGACAAAAGCTGTTCTGAAGCTGAAGTTGTTAAGCAACCTCAAGCATTCAAAGCCAATATACCTCCAATATAGTGAGCAGCAATACTACAGCTCATTCTTCTCCACAAAAGGTTGAATTTTTTGCTAGCCACTGAGGGGAAAAAAGGAACTTCAGATAAGCATATAACTAAGCAAATTCTGAATGTGTAACAGAACTCAAGGTTCCAAAAAAGCACAGCGACTTTCAATATTGCTGCAATAGACAAAATATTGTCAAGTTTGGTTTGAGAGATAATGGAAAAGGTGTTCCCTGAAAATGACAAACTGAAAAATCTTCAACTTCTCATTCTTCTAATCTACTTTACCAAGTTGAAACTCTATTTCTTCATAGGGCTCTACATTAATATTTGTCATGGTTCAGCTCACATATGCAGCAGTATTAGCATCTCAACCTCCTCCAACGAAACTGTATGCTGTAATTTAGGCTACACAATTTTGTGACTGTAAATGTCACTAATTAAAAGCTAATTCTTTTGAACACTTCAAGAAATACATCCTCCCAGAATAGGAAACATTACTAATTGGTATTTACATGCCACTAGTTTAGGGACTACACAAAGTCACTTTACCAAATACAAAAACAAATACAGCACAAATGCAATGCAGGGGAAGGTAAGTCTGGGGCAGTGTGGCTGAAGGACAACCTGAGCAGCCTTGAAGGAAATGTGTTCCATCAAGAGAAAAGGTACCCAAACACCTTAAAACATGGTCCCTCCCCTCAAGACTCTTAAAACACAACGATAATAAAAAGTTAAATATTAATATAGAGCCCATCTACCAAAAGAGAATTAAAAAAACCCTAAATTAAAATAAATTTAGGGGCCTTCACCAAACTTGCTGCAAGTTTGGGGACATAAATATCCAACAGCCATAAAGCTGTGAAAGCCCCCAGAATGAATAAAATAAATCCCACTTGCCTCAGACTGAACAGGGCAACACTGAGACTCTGCCTCAGCCTGTCCTATGGCAGTGCTATAGGAAGAAGAAAAATTTAAATTTTAGAAAAAACATGACCCAATTAAGTGAAAGACATGCATTCAAAGTTAACAAAATTCCCGTGATCAAGCAAACAAAAGAAAATGAATGCTATAGCACCTATTTTGTCAGGCCCAAACAACTTTTTACAGTTGGCAGCAATTTCTGAATTGGACAGTTTGTTTTTCTTTGTATCTTGCTCAGTGGAATGTCAGTCAGTTGTCTTGGGGCATTTTTCCCATATCTGATACTATTTACTGTACTAGGTTACAGAAAGCGGAAGTAAAGATTCTGTCAGCCACTCATGTTCACCCTCACCTCAGTATTTTGGTAGAAGCTAGACCAGTACAATTATTAAGACATTTACTATTTTTAAGTGTCTTTAGTTACCATTTTAAATCACAGACCCAGCTCATGGAATTGTATATCATGGTCTCAATTTAACTGAAGAGTCATAATGCCCTTCTTGCTGTTCATAAAACTGAAGTAAATTACATTTTTAAAATTTTTAAATCTTATATGCAAATTCTTTGATTCCTATAAAATAACTGTAGATTATATATTCCACTCAATTTTAACCAAGTTTTAAGAAAGTTATACAGTTCTATTAAGTGCTGCTCAAGTGCTCCAGGCACTAAAATAACTGCAGAAACCACCGACAGCAGATGCAATTTGTTTCTAGAAGCTTGCTTCTACTCTCCTATGCATGCACAGAGTGAGGAATAGTTATCCACTTAAATTATAACATGTAACGCCAGCCTCAAATTTATTATCAGCACCTAAAAATCTCATCTGTGGACAACAGAAAAAAATCCAAGAGTTCCAGAAAAAGTTATTTCTAGACCACATAAGCCAGTTAGATTTTCAAGACTTTATTTAAAGCAACCTTTGCCAAAGGCAGAAAGATACTCTAAAGGCAATATGAAATGGTCAAATCAAGACTTCTGAAAAAGCAGCCTGGGCTTTTCCAAGGCTCTTTCACAACAGTCTCGTCCCTTTTGCTCTAAAAAAAATCAGCAGATATGAGATCAGTCTCTCATAATGATACTGAAAGACCACGCATAAAATATTTTGGTACCTTTTAGCAAGTTGTAGGTGCTATAAATTTTTAGTATTTTGCTAAACATACTTTCCCACCTGGGTCTGAACATTTTGTTGAAGCTTTGTTGTTTTATTTTATTCCACATTTGTATTACATTCCAATTTAATGACTGATCAAAATCCATTTGGCAAGTTTTAATTTTACTGTAAGATCTGCCACGACATATTTAGACAACAACCAAAAAACAAAGCTTCTACCTATGTAATTTTATCTCTAGAATCCTTCAGCAGATATAACAGAGAAATGCAGTTCTATAATCATAAAGGCTTCTGCAATCTCTTTCTAGGCAGACACCCACTAAAGCAAAAACATGTCTGCACAGCTGCATTGCAGCTGGGATTTTTGCTAGCACTACTATGTTGATTAAACTCCATACTGTAAACCAAGCCTTAGTCTTTAAACAAGAAATTAGTAAATTCAAAGTATTTTCTCTTCTGGGGGAAATGTACCATAAGTCCAACTCTCTGAACATTAAGAAGCAGTATCCAAAGAAATGAAGGCAGGGACAGAGGTAACAAATGCACTGAAGCACCTGCCTGTTGACAGAGAAGTACATACAAGAGAGACACAAGAGCAACTACAGGTAGCCACGGCACAGAAATGACAGGAGCAGGACAGTTAAATATCCATGTGAAAAACCATGGAAAAACTGTTCACCTGCTTACTGAAGATTATATTAGACTACAATAAGAATAACATGTGGCAGTACGTAGTTGATGGATTATCGTAACATTACTACTGAGAAAAGGTCAACCTTAAAATACATCCAAGATAGCTCTATGTAGTATTGGCTACAAAATGGTACTATTATCAGAACAATGAGACATTTGCTACTTAAAAGAGGGAAACATAATTAATACAACTTGCAAAATATGCTGAGTTAACAGTACATGCAGTAAGGTTTTTCAGCAATTTATCCCAAGAGAAGCAGTGGGTCTGAAAACGACATACCAATGAGTTACAGAAAGACACCGAAGGGGGAGAAGGTATTTACTGGGGCAGGAGGGCAAAGCATCCTTACGGCAGCAATATCATATTCAGAAAAAGCAAGTTCTATAGTCTGAAAACCAGAAAATCAACTTATAACTTATGAATTTTATGTGTAGTATTACAAAAAGGGTGAATATAAGACACTGTAAAAATATTTTGTTTTGTAATTATCCTTATTAGATAAATAAAAGAAACCCAGAGTATAAGAGCATTGCCTAAGCAAAACAGTTTAATCTGTTAGACTTATGTGTAAAGCAAGAAGAAGAGCTAACAAAAGATCTGAACATCAAGGCCCACTCAGCACATTTGCAAGCTGAATACTGCACATCTGACAGGTGACCAGCAGGTACCAGTGATCAGAGAGAACTGCTTCTCAACAGAGGCTTGGAGTTATGGTCTTAAAACTGCTAAATGCTTCAGAAAAAGTGCCTGACAATTCTTAATGGTTAAACTAAGGCCATTCTGCTGCAACTGAAGTGTACTGGATGCTCTAGTGCTTTTGTGAGCCATTCCATGACCCCAAGCTGGAAGCTGAGAGACAAAGCAGTATCTTAGCTGTACTGTATTTCTGGACAATTAAGAGACAGTACAGAATAAAGCCATATGAAGTACGTAAGTGTAACTAAAAACATCCCAAGACTTCAAAGAAAGAGCGCCAAAATGCTCAGTACTATAATTAAGTGAAAAAAACCTCTACCATCTATGAAAACATCTGCAGAACAAACCGACACAAAAATGCTGATGATCTTTCTAAACTACCCCTAGAAGAAAAAATAACCCCATAAATTAAATCGCACAGATAAGACTTGAGGCTGGATCATGTATTTAAAGTTGACCTGCAAATGAAAAATGGACCACTCCTTTTTACCTCTGTTGTGAAGAGGGAAGCTCTCACTTCCCTCCAAAAGTCTCCCCTCTACTTTTTTTTCTCATCAGAAATAGAGCACACTAACACAGTCATGTCAGACATCCAGAGAATTACAGCCTTGATGGTAGTTTATTACTTCACTCTTATCAACAGATTAGTAACTAATTCATACAGGGAAGACCTCTCTTTGAAAACTGCAATTAGGAGATAAAAGTTACGAGGCTAAAAAAAAAAAAAACAAAATCGTATCTTTCTCTAGACACTTCCATTAAATGGCTCAAGAAACTCAGCCAACATCTGATCATAGCACGCAATGGACAGTTCATCCTTTATAGACTGTTCAGGTCTGAAATTCTGAGTATTTAAAGAAAAATATAGCATGTAGCATTACTCTTGCCTCTCTTGTTTACGTGCTGAGGTCAAAGTACTTTTTCTCTTTTGCAGGTCAACTTCAATACAACATCAACTGGATGTCACTCACCCATGTGACATGCACCCAAGCTTCTAGAAATCTTCACCTAAAAGGCTCCTGAAATTCACACGCATTTGCATATTAAAGAGTCAAACAGTGAACTACCAGGACACACCTGACACTGGGATGGATCTTAGAGCAATAGTTTCTACATCCTTCAAGTGTGTGCCAGGGCTAGCATCATTTAAAATTTATTGAGGACAAGAAAGCACAAATAAACCAACATATGCACTAATAGAAGTTACAAACAGGAATTAAGATGTGCCTCCTGCAGCCTCATTTCTGAGGAGTCAGTTAATAAGTGTACAGGTCTTTGTCTACTCAGATGTGTAGCTAAGCAGTGATTTAATCTTAGGACAAAGAATTCAGATTTTATCAAAACAGCACAAGGAATTGTGTTCACTACACCAACAGCTACCATGGCATGCATCTGTACAAACCTTTCAGGCAGTTGTCCACAGCTGGTCATGAATAAAAAGGCATATAAATTTTTCTCTTCTTTTATTACAATGAAGTTTATAACGGTACAGAAAAGTCACACGACCTTAGTGGGTCAGTTTACTTAAACCCTGGAACAGGAGGAACTCTAAATACATTAAATATTGTTACAAGTTCAGACTTAAATGTACAAGTAGTTGGAAACAGTTAACAGCCCTCACCAAACTATGTTGGGGACATGAAGTCCAACAGCACTTGAAGTGCTGTGAAGGCAACATTTCACAAATAGCAACATAATGTTACAGAACTTGCCTTTAAGGTGGTATGTTCATGTAATTCCAGCGCCTTCACAATTTAACGAACCATATTTACTATACTTCACTTCTAAAAACCTAGATGAAACATGAAAAAGAAGCCATACAGTATAAATTGCAACATCAGGAAAACTTCCTGTTATTATTCCAAATAATTTTTCCCATGTAAAATAAGAATGTCCATAATAGCTCCTTGCATGTGGGAAGATACTTATTTTTTAAAGTCACAATGAAGCCTTAATTGACGGAAGCTCGGCTATATTAACAGCACAAGATGAGAAAAGGTTTAATCTCCAAACCTATTATAGCGTGTGTAGTAGCATCAGTAGCGGCCACCTTGCGACATGACAGGAGGTCTCATTCCCATGGGAGGTCGAGGAGGTCCACTCTGGTAAGGGGGCACCATCGGAGGCCCCTGACCGTACGGAGGCATTGCTCCAGGAAGATATCCTGGCATGCCCTGGTGATGAGCACCATACTGACCTATAAACAGAACACGTAAGATGCAAAGATTTTTTTTTTTTTTTAGAATAGGTGGAAGTTGCATTTTGTAAAAAGCTTCACACACAGAGTATATGTCACTTCAGGTTTTTAAAATATTTATAGCAAAGGCAAATCGTTTCCAGAGAAGAAAGCTAGGAAACACAAGATTACCATGAGGTGGCATGGGAGGTCTCATTCCTTGTTGTTGTGGAGGAATTCCCGGCTGCGGTGGCATCATACCTCCAATTGGTCCAACTGGTGGATTACCCAGGGCAGCTTGTCCAGGTCGAGGAAGATTACGCTGGTATTTAGGCAACTGTGCCCTTCTCTCTTCCTAAAACCAGCAACAGACAACCACACCACACTGAGACAAACTCACTAAAAGTACAGTAGATAACATAGCAAAGTACATTACAGGCACTAAGCTAATTCAACTCCCTTACGAGTTCAAGAATTGCTACTAGTAACATTAGAAAGTAGCAGCTGTGTTTTTCCTACTTCCTTCATAGTTACTGTATTAACACCAGCCAATCTAGCATTTTGCATGCAACACAAATTCTCCTCCTACCTCAGCTGAAGAAAGCCTTTTCCTTATAATGAGACAAATAAGCCCAACACAAATCTAAAGATATCTGAACTGAAATTAGGGTTCATTTGTTTTATCCATAAATCCCCTACTTCTGACTGCTGTAAAAGCACAAAACCCACTTGGAATTGTTAAGTCGTTTGTCCTACGCTCATTAGCTGTATCTATTTAACTTCAAGCTTAAGTCACACACAGGAAAAAATCCAAATTATATTTTGAGTTATTTCCTATCACAAACAAAACAAAGGCTCAGATCTGCAGCAAGATCATTGCAATAAGCAAGTCACTTTGCAACTGAAGTTCTCTCACATCTAGCACATGTGGTTCTGTTACATTAATTCTGCACTTTGTTACCAAAATACACAGAATGCAGAGCACAGAAGAAATTCCACTTCATCAGCCGTATCAGCATAAATCACATTTTTCAGTAAGACAATGAAAATATTTTAACTTACCAGTGATATATCCTCATCTGGATGGATCAACTTACTGGTTGCACTGGTTGTTGTGAGGGTAGCAGGCTTACTTGTTATAGATGTAGCCGGTTTAGCTGCAGTACTGTTTGTCGTGCTAGTGGTTGAGGCTGTAGACTGGGTGTAAGCAGGGAATGTAGGTTTTGGGGGTTCCGTTGTTGTTGCAGGTGTAGAATTCAAAGGTTTGAAATCAGTACCAACTGGACCTGGAACAGCTGCTGCAGCCTGTGAAACACAGAGATAGGTCAATACTTATTTCTCAAAGCATAAAAAAAAAAACTTTAAAATGTCTGTTATACCTCTGAAACCTTTCAGTGAGATATGTAATTGTAACAAGCTTGACAAAAGTAAAGTTCAGCCTTACTGCATACTAGAGCAAATGAAAACAAGACAAAATAAAACCCAGTATATAACACACATACACACACACTGGAAGGTCTAAAATTTGCAGGGTCAAAAGTCACAACTAGAAAAAAGGAACAACAACAACATAACCCTCCCCGCCCCCCTCAAAATTTTTATCTTGAATACCAAGTTTGGTAAATGTCTAAACCTTCCCTGAATCACTGTTTTATCAAGACCCTGTAAGTATAAATTCACTGATCTCTCACTAAATTTTTAGCATACTTTAACAACCATTAGAGTACAGCTGAGTGTTAGTATTCATTAAAATGAGGTATTTAAAAAATGTTTTAATTAAAAATTTAAGAAAGCTCTGCTGTGTCAGGGTTTTTGTTTTAAGCGTTTTCTCTATAAAAACACTGCAGTATTTTCATGGAGTACTCTGTCAGTCTACAGATCTTTAATCTCGCCTGTGGATGAAGAATCAACTGAAGGCAGGTAGGAGGTCCACTACAGATTCCAGCATCTCATCTTCCCTACTTTTCTCAAAATAACAGTTAGACACAAAAAATTTGCTTTACCAAGCTTTCTATGAAGACACAGCAATCTCTAAAGCAAGCTTTAGTTATAAGAGAATACTTTTGTTTCTAGTCACTGTTCATTTACAATTATCTTAAGTTTCCAAACAAAACAAAATACTTCCATTTTTTGCACGGAATGCAAATTATAAAACTCCCTACAAAATTCCCTACATTACGATATATTAAACAACATAAACTAAAAAGCCTTTCACCATGCATCAAGCTAACCACTGCCCACTAAAATGCATGTAACTGCTTTCATGCCTTTTTAACCCTTTAGAACCAGGATGGAACATTTCATTCTTTCACACTAAGAAAAATTGGGCACTTTGAGATGCTTATTTCTAGTAAGATGCAACTTGCAATCAAGGACTCTGCAGTTTTACCAGCTAAACATCATCAGGAATAGAACAGAAATTATCTGAAAATGTTTAGTCAATTTTAGATTTTACAGAACGGTCCAAAGGGTTAAGTTGCAAAGCAATTTGTTTTTAACTGTGACTTCCTGCGTACTTGTGCTGTGCTAGGAAACAGAGCGTTAGAAGACGCTGACAGACTTTCTGAATTGGAGGAAGCTGCACTTGAGCTTGTGACAGGTGTCCCCATCTGTAGCATAAAAGAAAGGAAACAGTGAAAAGTCTCCAGACAAATGGGTGGAAAGTATCCAGATGAAAGGATTTCTTACGCTAATTTCTTTCTTAGGAAAGGACTACCTTCTGTAAGCTAGTGTCTTCCCTGCAGAAGTCCAAAGTGCAAACAGTACACCATGAAGGTTTCTGCAACATACTTGAAAGCAAGTAGAAACCTCAGGACTTACAAGTGCAAGCCAAGGGTAGAGGTCACAAGCCACCAATCTCCCACTTCCCACCCCAAAACATTTAAATGAATTTTTACTACCCTAATTTACTCCTAAACTTTTCAAAGCAAAAAAACTCCTAATTTAGGCAATGTTTAATCCATCTAACAAGACTACAGAATAGGTAAGTCTATCTATCAGTAGAGAGCCCATTATGAAAATAACAGGAGAGAACAAGTCACATCAAGATTTATACTTTGGAAATTTCAGGTAAAGTTCTATGCAATCAGACTCCTGTAGCTGACTAACACATCCCTTCACCCACCCAAAGCACCGTTATAAGTGACAAACTAAAGGGACTAAAGAAAGAAGTATTTTGCCTACTCCTCTCTTCCCCACGCGCTTACAGAACTTCTGTCTGGTTTCACAGCTGTTATAAGACAAATAAAAGAATTTTTTAAAATTCATTCAAGCACCATACCAAATTAAACTTAAGTATCAACGCAGGCAAGGAACTTAACCAGTCATTTCTCGGGCCTCCTCAGTAACAGACAGACAGTGCTGACCCAACAGCAGCGTGAAGGAGGTGACAGTGGATGCCAGGCCAGGCCACCTTACCTGCCCCGCGCTGGGGAAG